ATCCCTAGGAAGATCCGAGATTCCCTAGGATCAAGTCTGCCCCGCACCCATCGGACACCTGCTACTTGCCCCACAGAGACCGCGCCCCATCTTCAAACGCCGACCTTCCCCTCCCCCTCCCAGAGTAACGCTGTGAATCACTCTGGTGTTCCTGAAGCCAAGTCCACATCAACCCTTACACGCTCCCGCTTCCTGCAGCCCTCCACACACTACCACCACTCCAGCCTTTCCTCCTCCGTCCTTTCAACCCTCGCTCTACATCCCCATTCTAACGATGCCATCATTCGCGTTCCCGCGGCAGCGCGCCTCCTCTGGCCACAAAGCCGCGGTGCGTCAATGCTCTCCCCAGGGCGGAGACTCACCTACAGAGCGGTATCCGAGGATGACCACCTTCCTATAGCGGACTAGCGGCATGGCAGGAGCCGGCCCCGAAGGGCTTGCAGAACTCAGGCTGAGAGAGCCCTAAAAGGAGGTCAGAGTGTAGACAGGCGCAGCAACCGGCACAGAAAAGTCGCTCACCCGAAGCTGCCAGAGGCAAGCAGGAGAAACCAAAACAAGCGCCGCGCCCGGAGCTGGCCACGTGACCACAACACAGCGAGACTAAAGCCAGGGAGCGGCGCGAGGAGGGAACTACAGTGCCGCGCGGATTCGGGCTCCGCCCCCCAGGCCTCTCGCCATTGGGCTATTAGAAAGGATTAGGGCGGGGCTACCAGCAGGAGGGAAGGGTGGGCCTCACGTGGAGCCGGAGACCCAGGAGCAACGCATGCGCAGATTAGAACCTGTTCATTCATAAAGAAACAGAAAGGAAACCGGGGTCCTAGAGGTGTTTGCGCATTTGCAACCTAGCAGACGTGGCTGAGAAGAATCGTAGTTGGAAAATACCCATGCAGATGGGCTGGAATTTCTGGTGAAAAGATTCTAGGCCTCCCTTTTGCAAGGTCTCTGGGATCCTCGAATAGGAAAAGAAAGGTCAAAGTTCTAACATATTCCCTCCGCTTCCCCCAGCCTTCAGCTCCAGATCTTTTATTGTCAGGTTTCCACAGTCTTCCAGGATCTAACTTTGGAACTGCAATTCTTGTTCTTGAGGAAATTGTTAAAATTTATGGTCAGTTCGTCTGAGGTTTCGTTGCCATCATCATCATAATCAATGCATTTATTTATTAAACAAATGGTTATTAATCGTACACCATACCATATGTTCCAGACATTGCTGTAGTTTTGAGGCTAGAACGATGAACATGACTGACAAGGTCCTTGCATTCACCAAGCTTAAAACCTAGTTGAGAAGAGATAAACATATAAACAAGAAAATATTAGATAGTATTAAGTGCTATAAAAAGTAGTGTGATAAGAAATGACAATTTTAAATTAGTGCTACTTCCTCTCAAAGGAAGCACCATTTAAACTCAGGTCTGAATAACAATAAGGAACCAGCTAGCCCAAGAGTCTGACAGAAGAATCCATAAGTGTTATAGCGCAAAAATGGAAATAAAATTGTTAAATTTCAGGAAATAGAGAAAGAAATGAGAAAAAGAGAGGCCAGTTAGCCTAAAGGAGATGAAGTTTAAGAAGATGGCAGGGACCATGTAAAGGATTTGGGCTAAATCTAGTATCTAGAAGGCTGTTGATGATTAAGGAGGGGCAAGACATGATCTAAATTGTGTTTCTAAAAGATCTCCCTAGCTGTGGAGAATGGATTCGGATTTGAGGGGAACAGGAGCAAGATGGAAAAGAAGGAGATCTGCTAGGAGACTATTACTTGTAGTCCAGGTGAGAGGTGAAAGTGGCTTGACTAGAGATGAATGAAGTAGAGAATTTGGGATATTTTGAGGCTGAAATCAGGCTGACTTGCTGAAGGATTGGCTATAAGAGGTGAGGGAAGGAAAAAGAGGAACGAAAACACCTAGATTTAGAGTTCTTACTTGGTGCCAAGTACATTTCATTGTTATCTCGTTTAATATTCACAACAGGTTGTGAATATTAAGGTTGATAATTGGTATTACTCATTCATTCATCAACAAATATTTAGCAAACATGTCCCAGGCATCCTTCTAGGTGCTAGCAAAAGAGCGGCAAACAACATAGACATGGCCTTGCTCACAAAGAGCAAGTATTCTTCTGGGAGACCAATAATCTACAAGTAAACAATATATAAGTTACAACAAAAAAAGTAACAACTGCAATGGGGAAAAAAACAACAACGAGATATTAATGGACCAAAGAGTAACTTAGAGTATGGTACTCCTCTTTTTTATATATATATAATGTTTTAGAAAGTCTGAGGAGGTGGACATTGGTGCCTGAGACTTAGATTATGGGTAGCTATTACCACTTTTATCTTACAGATATGGAAATTGAGACTTAGTCATAAAGGTAGCATGCAGAAGTTATTTCTTCTGGAAGGCCCTGATAAAGTGGATATTTAGGAGTTAAATTATACTGGACGACAGGCTCTATAAAGCTATAGAACCATCGAATGCTTTAAAAAATCCAGATCTATGAAAGTTGTTTCAAAGAGCCACTTCTTAATCTGACCTCAGAGACCCAAATACCTTTTCTACTGGGTAAAGGAAGTTCCTAGCAGATCAGCAATTTTATATTGGATAATTAGGCCTGAATGAGGTTAAGTGGGTCTTAATCACTATAAGATAGAATAAATATCTGGATTCAATTGAATTCAATATAAATTTATTCACCTACTTTGTGCCAGGCACTCTTATATGTGTTACACACTAGGGATATAAAGATAAGTAAGAGATGCCTTTTATGCTGTTATCTTTCTACTCTTTTCCACCCAGCTTTGTGTCCAAGAGGAAGACCTTGTCCCCTGAATCCTAGTGGAGTTCAGCCAAAGGGGAGCACACACAGAAGATTAGATGGAGGGAAGACAGTGTCTGTGCTTCCCACAGAAGATCACAACACCTCTCAAGGCACTCTCTCACACGCACACACAGCTTTCATGTTCTGTTTCTAGTAACTCACTCCCTTCACCCCTCAGGCTTATTGTGGTAACAGTCTGATACTCATCCTAGGGTACTGGTCTACTACTCCCTGTGGTTTCCCTATATTTGCCCACACCTTTGTAAATAGTCTTTTTATTAAATCATCCTCAAATTCTCTTGTTTTCAATCAGAAAGAAAGCCAAAGGGCTAAAACAAAGGGCTTTCTCCTCTTATAGCCTTTAAATATATACACACACAGGAAGAGATCTCACAGAAGATTTTTGGCTACATCTCCTTGAACAAAACTTTATCATGTGGTCATCACTAGCTGTGAGGGAGCCTGAAAATTTTAGCATTTTATTTTCTATCCTCTATAGTAAAGGGAGGCAAAAAAAGGTGGTGGTGTGGGGGGGAGATTAGGAATAAATGTTTAGTGAACCAATCTACAATCTCAGGATAAAGATATTGTTTATTAAATATCAATCACTTGAAAAAGTAATACCCAGTGGTTACATTTTAAAGATCACAGATATACAAAAATCACCAATATAGGATAAAATAAAGGAAGCAACCTATCCTAACACTAGGTAAATGGGCTTGGAATAAAATTTCTAGTGACAGCATCATATATTGCTATGTTTCAAACAACTGAGACAAAATCAAGATGAAATGCTCCCAGAAATTTTTTTTTATTATATTTATGAAAAGTGAAAACATTGTTCCTATTTTTGCATCAAAGTTATGGGGTCCATTGCACAGGTCTTCTAGGTTTTCAAGAGCTTTGGTGGAGAAACAGTTATGGGTTCACCTTTCTACTGATGTATCAGTTATCTATTGTTGTATAACAAAGTATATCAATACTTGGTGGTTTAAAACAACAACAATATATTATTTCTCATGATTCTGTGGGTTGAATTGGCTATTCTTCTGTTGTCTGTCCTGGACCCACTCATGTGGCCACCAGAAGCCACAGACTCCATTAGCCCTCTCCTTCAACTATAGCTACAGTTATAGCTCTCTCCAGGTTCTTATAAGCCTTTCTTCTCTCAACCTTCAGGCCTAGGGATTACCACCTCTAGTGGCTGCCCACTAATGCCAGACTCAGAATGCTTCACCACTCTCATAGGTACTCTTTTACCCTGTCCACATCTTTATGAATAGCCCTTTCACTATATTCTTCTTAATTCACCATTCGAATGTGCAATCTGTTTCCTCCAAGGACTCTGAATTATATACATCTGAATGTTATAGTAAGGAAAATTATCAAATAAAAGATTAGAAGACAAAATTATATTAAGTCTCATATCACAGTATAAGTAGCTAGAAGCATAGAGAAAGAAAACATTCTTCAAAAAAGAAAAAGAAAACAAGAGGAAAGAAAGAAAGAGAAAGAAGGAAATACCTTCAATATAAACCTACTCTGAGAACCAAAAAGAAAAAGGAAGGAAGGAAGGAAGGAAGGAAGGAAGGAAGGAAGGAAGGAAGGAAGGAAGAAAGAAAGAAAGAAAGAAAGAAAGAAAGAAAGAAAGAAAGAAAGAAAGAAAGAAAGAAAGAAAGAAAGAAAGAAAGAAGAAAGTTGATTGATTCTGTCTGAAATGGTCAGAAATTTCATATGGTGTTTGACAGTTGATCTGGGGACTACACTTTGAAAACCACTGATGTAGCACAACTTTTCTAGACTGCAGGCCTTAAAGCTTGAGAAGACTCTAGGGGAAAAAGCACAATGCTAAGGGGAGAGTGAAAACATAGTGTGTCTGGAAATACAGAGCAGACCCCATCCCTGGAGCACTCTATGTGTGTGGGCTGTGTAGAAATTAAAGCTGGAAATTAGAATGGACTCAAGTCAAGCATAGCTTTGAATGCCATTTTTAAAAGTTTAACCTTTATTTGGTACCCCAAGGTCTCAAAAATACCACTAGTGGTATACAAGGTGACTTTGGTAATACACAAACTTAAAAAAAAATTTAATGAAGTTTTAACATATGATAGGAAAAAACAATAGCTATAATGCCAAAACTACAAGTTCATAAATATTGCTTAGAAGAGGCAAAGCTGATAGTAAGTCAGTAGAATTTGAGAAAAATGTTAAATAATTATACAATTGGAAAGGGCTCAAGGACATAATTGTGCAAATACAAGGCTTGGGTAGCGCCACAATGAGCAATGGAACCTTTGCTGTGTCCTTGCTGGGGGTGTTGGAGGTGAGGGCAGTACCATGAGGATAGCTGTGCTTTGTAAAGATCACATTGCTGGTCTTGTACAGGTGGATGTACAGAGAGAGGTTGGAGCTGGAGGCAGGAAGCCCTATTAGGCAGTCAATACCCAAGAGGGGAAAGATGAGGCCTGGAGCAGTATAGAGGGGATGGTGAAGGCTCATACGAAAGGTACTCCAGATAGAAGTTATGAAGTTGATGACCTGATTAAAGGGGACAAAGTGAAGGAAGATGGCAACTTCATTTATGGAATTAGAGGACATGGGAAGAAGAATAGGAAATTTTTAGTAAGGGCATGGAAAGAATATTGAATTAATTCATTTATTTTTGACATGTGGATTTTTGGGTACCGCTCAGATATTCATATGTCAATTGGCCAATTAAGGAATATGTTCCTAGGCACACCACAGAAAAATAACCACATACGCATGCAGGCATCTTTCTTACATGTTCTATATGTCTGCTTCTCTCCTTACTCCTACACGTACT